TTGTCCCCCAACCTTCTGCCCCTCTCTCGAGCCAACGGCTGCCTTTGGCCTGTGACCCTGGACACGCTATTTTGATGGCATCACATCTCTGACAGAACCCTCCTGCAGGGGCAGGCAGTGGGATGCCAAGGGCTATCTAAATTCCAGTGACAGTTTTCCTAAATATTTTACTAAAGCATTAGTTATCCCTTCAAAACATGCAACTACAGCTTGTATGGCAGCTCAGCTGCTGAATGGTGTTTGGAGTGGAGATTATCCAAACCTGTGGTGCTGGAAGACCAGGCAAGACGTTATTCAAGGCAGCCCACAGAGAAGCTAAAGCTGCAGTGACACTAACGAACGCTGCTCCAGCGAAGGAGCGCTAAGAGAGCATGCCAAGGATGTTTCTCCCAACACGCAGCGGTGCCCACAAAGCTACCTGCCATAGGCGTGACGAGCTACAGCAGCAGAAGTGTGCGTTCCACCTACAGACGTGAAGCTATGCTGGAGTGTTTTACCAGAACAATTATCCCCTCTCACGTCCAAAGGGGACACGTAATCTGGCAAAAATACCTCACCCAGCCCCAGCTCAGCTCCCTCACTGTTAAGGCTACACCCTCACCTGTAAAGCTATCGGGGTCGGCAGGAAACACGGACAAGCTCCAGGAATTAAGGCAGAAGTTCAGTGTGCGTCTGGAAGACGACAACACCATTGACTAAGTTTGTCACAAAACGGAGTGCATCGGCTGTAACTTGCTTCCATTTGCGTGTTACCACTCATCTGACAACCACGTTAAAAATCCAGCAACACCGAGGTCACTGGGGATGTAATGCTGCTGTGTGCAGAGGGATTATGCCACGATACCAACTACCTCAGCCAGTCCTTTGCCGAGAGAAACTACCCCTGTGCTACTTAAGTTACTTCTGCTAAACGCTTTAAGTGGGGGTCTCGCTGTGTCTCCAGTTAACACACCTCACTGCACCTCTCCCCACCACACAAACACTCTCTTACAAGGGCCTGCAGTGACAGCACAAGGGCTAATGGGTTTAAATGGAAAGCGGGGAGGTTTAGATTAGATATCAGGAAGAAATTCTTCACAGAGAGGGTGGGGAGGCACTGGGACAGGTGGCCCAGAGAAGCTGTGGATGCCCCATCCCTGGAAGTGGCCAAGGCCAGGCTGGATGAGGCTTGGAGCAACCTGGTCTAGTGGAAGGTGTCCCTGCCCATGGCAGGGGGGTTGGAACTAGATGATCTTTAAGGTCCCTTCCAACCCAAACCAGTCTGTGATTATGATTCTCACTACGGGCCAGTTTCTGCACGTTACAGTTAAGTGTAAACAGCCACTGGCTGCAAAGCTCTGCTCACACGGGCCGTACCCCGTCAAGATCAGGGATGTTTCTGTACTCACTGCATTTCAGAATCAAGGCCACAGAGGCCCTATCACTTGAGAACTTCACCTAGCTTTTTAAAGCACAAATAATGATCTTAATTTTCATACATCTGTATTAGGTATAGCCCTTTACTGGAAAAAGACACATTAAATATCAAAAGTACCTCTGTTTTCTGCTTCGCTGTGGTTTAGAAGTTTCTTCGTAAGGGTTTTGAAATATATCCAAAAATATTGGTTCAAACTTTTTGAAAATCACAGTTGACACTTCAAAATTTCTCTCCAGCCTCTCCACGCGCTCTCGGAATTCCTGTGGTAGATTTGACATGTCCATCCACTTCTTCATTTTGCTAAAAAACTGAATTAAACTTCAAAGAATAAAGAAAAGTCTGCTTAATTTTGAGCTTTAACTAACTTCCTTTATTCTGAATTTTTTAAAAAGCTGCACTTACTCCTTAATGACTCATTTGAATAATATGCAGCTTTACTGTTTATCCTGACAGACTCCCAGACTATATATACTGTAAGCTTTTCACCTTTTATCACTTTGGGTTTTCTCCTTGACCCTCTTGAAAGCACCAGCATGGCAATATTAATTTTATTTAAAGGCTGTCAGCACAGCCTGGGGAGGGGTAGGAAGGAAAGAGCACCCACAGCTCTGTGGGTGTTGAGGGGGAGGCAGGAGAGGCAACAAAACCACTATCGATATCTTACACCTGTCAAAGTGACCTACGCAGAAACCTGTAACTGTAGGTGTGATTGCACTGGCAACCCACTGGGCAGGTCAGCTGAGGGCACGTCTAAGCGGCACGAGAAACTTTCTGCCTTCTGTCCTCTGGAGTCAGAGCTCCAGCACAAGCGGAGCTGCTGCAGGGAAGGCCCCGGAGTACCAAAACATTCGGCAGTTGGGCGAGCACCTTGGCCCAAATCCCGAGTCAGACACGAGCCTTATCTGGATCGCTAACACATCATTCAGCGGCCTTGTTTGTGTTTCAATTAACTACGAAAAGAAACAGCAGCAAGCGGCGTGGGCGGAACAATTGCTGGTTTCAAGGTGGGCGGTTTTTCAAAGGCTTCAAGTTGAAAATTACGTATTTGCATCTTATTTCCATTTCCAACACAAGGGGAGGTATTGCGTTTACACCATGACTTCGGGACACGCATTTTGCAGCGCTCGGAGCCGC